ACCGCAGTCGGGCATTACGGGATCCCTACTCTATCACTGGGTAGCACGTTTCAGTTCGTGGGTCTCGGCTGTCACTAGTCGGGCTCGGGTAATCCGGCCGTTTTGTTCAGCTCAACGTTACAACAGTATCAAAGCACATTCACTACTCACGTTTTTACTCCTAACTCTAATAATTACCGGGGGGGGGGATGAACCAAGCAATCAACGAGAGGGAGGGAGAGAGAACGAGAAGCGAGCAACAATCAAATTGCAAAAACTGACCGGGCGATTTTTTGTTTGTCTGCGACCATCTGTTTCATCAAACGACGATTGTTCCGATCCAGTTCCATATTATAACTGTCGGCTTCGTCCACAAATGCGGCTTTCCGCTGACTGAGCTCGCGAAGTTCAGTGAGTTGCTTTAGCAGGAACTGTCAAAGACACAAGAGGAAGGGGGAGAGACGGGCGATGGAGAGGCAAACAGTGTAACCAGATAGAGCGAATGATGAATGAGGAAAGGCAGTCGCGAGACAACAGCTAATCTTGAATTGGTCAAAAATTTGCTCATCATCATATAACGAAATAGAAGGAAGCAAACTTCACTGATCGCTGCCAAACTCGGAATGCATGTGCACTGGGGTTTGATGAATGGGCACCGCTAGGGTGTTCAGCCACTAAGCAGGAGAATGATTAGGTTTCTCAACCAAAGCCTCTAGTTCTGACAAGAACCTAGCCGCAGGGCAGCGGGTGAAACTAAGTGGAGGCCCATTCACTATAATCAATTTCTCCTCCACCATTTTTACGTGAAACGCAAATTCTAGTCGAACCCCCAACCTGGAGGACCAGGAGACTACCTATATTTTTCTTTCGACCTTCCAGGCATGATTAGATCTGCAGCTTGGCAAAAGCCGTCTTGTGTAGCTCGTTGGGTTATAGAGTTGCACAAGGCATCACACTACGTCAAGGTACTGTCTGGTCGCGATGACCAGGATGGCAGGATGATTAAGCACATGCAAAATGGCCATCGATAACAAAATTTCACGGAATTTTTTAAAGGTACGATCATTGCGAGAAATTGCAAGGGTACTTACTACTCGGTTGGACAAGTAGTTTTCAATCCAATATCTCGTTTGATTGCAAAAAAGAACCCAAGCTTTTAACCTTCGGGGACCAATGACCAATTTTACGCAAGAGTCCGGGGTGAAATGGAAAAAATGAGCACTACATATGAGAAGACAGCAAAACTTATTATATTATTTGATTTCCAGAAAATCCCGTTAGTCTGCCACAGTTGTCCGTCGGTTCGTCAAACTTGTGGTTTGCTTAATTGGTTATTGGTATTGCTGAATTCAGATCGGTTGGGGGAGTTAACTCACAATTTGGCTGCACTATCCGATAGCTGAAACAGCGATTGGTGGGATGGACAGTATTTCTGCTCCTTTTTCTATCAGACACATTTTTCTGTGTGGTGAACAGTAAACGGAGGGGACCCTACAAACACGAAAACATGCTGTTCAGCGATGGAAACAGGCAAACTAAGCCCCGGGACTTGGATCGGTGAACCACATAAGTCCCTACTGGGTCAGATGTGGTGTCGAACCGGACGACAGCTAGGCCACTTACCACCAACGGTGGGTGGCGGTAGCGGGGCTCAAACCTGGAACCACAGGGTTCACACTACGCGGGTGATAGCGACTAACCGCTGCACCACCAACACTCTTATTACCACACCTGCAGCATTATATTATAACTTGGACTATGAAGTCGGTTATCAGAAACGAACAACAGGTATCTGTGACCCTGAGATGATGCAAAGAACCGTCGTGTCGGGCCAATATTAAAATTTGTACCATTGGCGACTGTTTCGCTGCCCACATCACTATTAATCACGACCCAGTTGATTCAAATAAGAACAACATCACTATTGTTCGACTTATACTGAGGTCAAACGAACAGTAGGATGATCAGCAAGCCAGCATTACGTATACATTGTGTTTCTTCCGTTCACGCTCGCGCTCAAGTACTACACATTTGTTATTAGTTTTAATAGCGTGAAGAACACAGAAGAGTGCTTTCACTAAACAATGGTTTTTCATTCTGGTAGACCCCGAACGAGGGGGAGGCGATAGTGGGACAATTACACGACTGTTTAATGCACGCTAAATTTATAAGTGCACTGATCGTTTTCGTTAATACAATACGTGAAAAGTTGACAAGTTTCGATGCTACGAGATGCTGCAAGGCCAGCCTCAGTTAAGAAGTGGTGATATTTTTTCCCTATCCGTTAGTGCAATGATAAAAGAACCATAAAAGAACAATCGGAGTCACTGCTAAATGCACATTGAAAATCGAACTTGGTTCCTGGTGATATTATTGATAAATTCAGGGTGTCTCGCAAAAGGGGAAAAAATAAAGTGATTGAGAAAGATGAGCTTCTGCCCGACGACGATGTCCTCGAATACCGTTTTTGGGATGTTCAATAATCCAAAGGCGAACAGACATCTCCAGTTTGGAGTTACAAAACACCAGTTAAATTTAACCCGGCAGTTGTGACAACATCCGCCTGGGTTGAAGATTGTTTGAACATGTTACGGATATCACACAATCAAAAAACGTTAATTCAGAAATTAAGAACAACACGTTTCGGGGGAGGAGAGGAAAAGACCAATGTGATTAAAAAGGGATTTATAGAGTACCAGATAGGAATAGTAACTCTGACTTGGAAGGCTGTCGGCTCTGTTGAGGTATCCTTCGTTCTTTGGTCCCCACCAGGCGCTAAGCTCTTACCTGTAGCTCATAAATGCCGTCTGTATGCAACAGCGGTCACACCTTGGTAAACCGCTTGACAGGCGGGCCAAATCAAACTGAGGGTAACTGGGAGTTCAACGCTTGACGAGCCGGTGTTTGGTGTGCGAATGCGGTACGGAGTGCTGCTGAGGAAACTGTACAATTACGGAATTCGGGGACCTGTAATGGGTTCGATAGAAGAATTTCTTCGACAACGCACCCGGGCAGTCCAAGTTGCTGGGTCACTTTCTGATCATATCAGCGTAACATGAGGAATTCCACGAGGATCCCAGCTGAGCCTTCAACTTATTCTAGCTTCCATAAACGACGTAACAGACATTTTGGGGCCACAAATGTTTATGTTTGCAGACGATACAAAAAGTTGAAAAACAGTGATAAAGCATGAGGACTCACTGGCATTTCAGAGAACACTTAATGCTGCTTATCAATAGTTGATCGCAGACATCGAATTCAATGCATAAAAATGTACGGCCGTATCCCCTCGCCGTAATAGTCAGGTTCCGTATTTCCTGGGATATCAACAAATTCCGTATGCCTCAAATGAAAAGGATCTAAATGCGATCGTAAAATCCTGAAACGTTCACAAGAAATGTCCACCAAAATGGTCAGGGACTGCAGTACCGACACATGGTTTAAGGCAATGATTCTGTACTTAACAGGAATGCATGTACCTCAGTTCGGCTAGAAGCCCCCAACGGTGTATGGGCCCCAGCCCCCCACGCAGAGGGCCAGCCGCAACCTTGCAGTTAGCACTTGGATGTGCGCAAGAGATATGCCAACTCGACCTAAAGCAGTGTGACGCTGAGGCCGTTTCCTCCAGAGAAAATTCATGAATAATCAATTAGCTTGTCTCGCTAATTATGCCACAGCGTACCCGGGACGCGACACACTCTGTGCATCCCGGTGGCTCGGGTGACAAATATGCACGCTGGACAACTTGAGCTACGAAAAACAGCCTCAAGTGGATGCTGGAATGTTAAATGCACCAACGATACGCTCGTTGCATGTCTATCAGCTGGACGGTACATGTCCTTCTGAGGTCAGATTAGCGGGATCTGGCTCCAAAAGCATGAAACTCCCTGATATTGATAGTCAATACTGGCTGCATCACAGCAGCACCTGCCACCAGTGGGATACCCTCGGGTTAAGCGGAGCGGAATGCTACCGGGAGTGTCTCTGGGTTGTGGATAGGGGGCACCTTCACCGAAGAAGGTTAGCTGTGAATAACTTGTGGTATGCCACGACAAATAAGCAATCGCGAACAAACAGCAGCGGCACTAACAGAGCGTGGTGAGTTTCAGGCTGATCACCTGGCTCCTGTTAAAAAGCCGCATTAGCCCAATGAGAGTGTCGTGACAAAGGCCGATGTGATTAGCCTTTTAAAACTAAAGTCATTAAACCCCTCACTTCTGAGGCGAGGGATTACTTCCTGATGCCTTGCAGTTCGCACTTGGTTATGCAAAGGCTAGAGGGGATGTCTCTCGTACCAAACTCCCAAGGAACTTCATGATCATGTCTGGAACTGACTCATCCTTTCCAAGGAGCCGGCCGCAGTAAAGTGAAAAAGCATCACAGCAGCAATGAAACATCGGGTCAACACGGAGTGCCACTTGATTGAAGCTATCTGAGCAATAATCCTTTCAATTTCTGAAAACTGGTCTCATCTAGGATTGCAGTAGCATGATTCAAGGGCCGTCCTCACAGTAATAACTATGTACGTCCTATCTGACAACATCAGGGATGAGTTCCATGGCACGCTTCAATCGCTTGTTTATGAAGTCCCCGAAAATGGATGTCATTGCCTCAAGAAGATGCCACGAAGCACATTGCAGGGAGGTTTGACCTGAGCCAGCACTGCGAGAATGGTGAAAAGCTACTTCGCTTCGTCGATTAGAATCGACTGTTCATTACCAACACGCCGTTCAACACCTAAAAGGTATCTTTTGACTTGGTACTCCAACAGCAGGCGAACAGCACACCACTTGGGTTGCCTTCTCATCTATTCACGATGGGTATCTCCGGTTGAGGACTGTTGACCCTACCGTGGAGTTGAGGGTAGGAACAAAAGAGGATCTGATCACGTGCCAGTTTGTACTTCATTTAACACATTCATTCAACAAAACGCCTGTTCCCACTGGAGAACAGCGAGAAATTCCGGGTAATGATTGGCATGTTCATTGCACAATTGTCGAACGATCCCCTCAGTACGCAATGAAGCACAGAGTTCAGTTGACTCTTGATGGACCAAGCTGAAATCGTCGGTACAACAAGCTGCTCTATACGAACTAGGATGTGTCACGTCGCTTGAAGGACTAGATTTCTGACCACACCATTAAGTTAGTTAATGCGACCAGAGAGGCATGTCTAACTCAATCCTTTGCTTATCTCAACCCCAAACGACAGGCAAGGCGATCGGCCAGAAACGACAGATGCAACTGCTGGAACGAAATGGCGAAAAATGGAGACAGCATCTAATCCAGGCAGCAGGGAGAACCTCTTCCAACTTAAATGAGCGGTATCGGGCAAGAAACAAGTCACCCAGTTCGTGTTGGACAGTGCCTTCGGTAAGCTCATTTCCGATGCAGGAGGAAGAATTTCTCGGTAGGTGGAACACTTCAGTCTACTTCTCATTCGTCCATCATCATCATCATCAGTAGCAGCAACAGCAGAAGAAGGAATTTCACACTCTACCAACCAATCTGAGACCGCAGAAGTCTCCCGGCGAGGGCGGGATACTAGCGGAAACCTACGAAAAGTGTTCTTCAACCATTTAAAACCCGCTTCATAGCTTTATATATATAGGTACAGAAGCGGGGAAAACAAAACAGTCAACTTGAGGGGGTAAAAATTTCTGTTTGTTTACTGCACGCCATTTTGAATTTTCTTGGTTTTGCTTATTTTCGCACACCGGAGAAGATGCATCCACGCCACTGACTTCGGTTCGATGCCATATCCCGCAGTGTCTCCAGTCAAAGATAATCTGAATCTTTGGGGCCCCAGCCGGGGACCCGGGAAAACCCAACGCAAGCTAGATCCAAGCACAGCCTTTAATTGTCTGCGCCACGCCATAGCCTGTCCACCTCGCTGTTCCTCCCAGCCTGAACCGATGTCTGAGAATAGTGCATGGTATGGCAGACGTTGATCAGGTATTCGTAGGACGTGCCCTAGCCACCTAAGACGATGCTGTGAAATTATGTTGCTCAAAGGAAAACTATCTGGTCCTAGTACCCTGCGTCTAACTTCACCGCTATCCACGCGATGCTTCCACCATACGCTGACGTTGTTGAGCAGACAACGGTTGTCGAATACGGATAGTCATTGGACGTGATCTACTCGGAGAGGCCAGGTCTCACAGCCATAGAGCAACACGGTG